TAACCTTAAAAGTGCATTCGAAACCATGTCACCTGCAAACCAACTTTATATGAAATCAGAGTTGTTACCTTGTATGGGAGCCTCGGATAAGCAAATCAGGTCTACAGCTGGTACCATCATTAGTACTCTTGTTCAGATTGGTGGACTTTCAGGATGGCCTGAATTGCTGCATGCACTTGTAAAGTGCTTAGATAGTAATGACCCCAATCACATGGAAGGTGCTATGGATGCATTGTCTAAGGTATATATTTATTTCGCCTCTCTGAATTGGATAATTCTACATGTACATTATGGTATCCATAAGGGTGTCCATAATGTACATGCTGAATTCTATGATTGGAAGGTTGAAAAAACTGTTTTTCAACTCTCAAATGATGTTATGCCACTTTTACATTATGGATAAGGACACCATAATGTACATGTAGCATAATTCCTCTGAATGATATGTAAACTGCAAATATTTCACATATTATTGTAAGTTATTTCGCGTGACAACTTCTTTATGCATAATTCTGGATTATCTGAACTATTGGTCTGTTACTGCATGTTGCCTCCTTTTGCTCGCCCACAAACCATTTTGTGAAGGCAGCTGGCTATTTTCGTGATATAACTATTGCCAAATCTAGTTGAATCTGGATAACACCTTTAAAGATTTGATTTGACACAGATTTGTGAAGATGTACCACAACTGCTTGACGCTGATATTTCTGGATTATCTGAGCGACCTATCAATGTCTTTCTTCCAAGATTTCTCCAGGTTCTCACATTTTATATCTTTTTCCCCATCCCTCTTTACTCAACCACTCCCACAAAGTAGTTTGTAATTATTGTTTGGGCTAATTAAGCCCTCGTTTGGTCTGGATTTAATCAAAGTCGACAATTAATTTTAACTACATATTTTATGGGATCCATAACTTTTTAATCACACGTTTCGTCAATTATTATCGAAATCTACTAAAAATTTGATTTTAATCCTTACCAAAAAGGAGCTAAATATTATAAGCTTTCTTGATCAGTCTTCTATCGAATACCTCGTAACATTTCTGTTGTTTATCGTCTTTATCTGCAAACAGCTTTTCCAATCGCCGCAGACTACACTAAGAAAGCTTTCCCTATGTACGGTGAACCATTTCATCATGCTCATGCCAACAGTAAGTGCAACTCAGTTAGACTTTGTAGTTTGAACTGTTCCATGTCTTCATTTAGGGCTTATATCCGTCTGACAGAGTTGAATTGTCATTTCTTATCAGGTATTATATATGTCCATGGATAAATATCTGCAAGGTTTATTTATTCTTGCTAATGATCCTGCTCCAGAGGTGCGGAAGCTGGTAAGGAATTTTTCCTGTTGTCATTTTTTGATCTGCAGGAGTCAAAATGCATCATACTTATGAATCAATGCTTAAGGATGTACCAAACAATTACATTTCCACTCTTGCTTCCCCTGTATCTGTTGTTATAAGTATTGTAATTTTTTTATTTAGGTTGTAGTGCAAATAACTTGGCAGGTTGTATTGGTCCTTCATTTTTGCTGAATTATTATTCACCTCGTCATGAACAGTCTTTGTTTTACCTTGCAAGATTTTAGATAATTATTGATGAATCTAGGCACATATTAATCATCAAATAAATTAGCAAGTGTGTTGTGAAGATTAGTGACTTGGACGACCACAATTTGTAATGCTGAAGTAGGATGATTGTGTCAACT